AGCGGCGCGGCGCTCCCTGCCCTAGGGCCGCATGGGCAACGGGCGCGCAGTACGCAGGCGTCCCCGACCCAGAGCTTGATGGGAGTTGTAGTCTTCACCGCTGCTCCCTTCGCCTCCACCTTCCAGACTTTTCTATCCTGTCTCTTGGTCCCAGACAGCCAAGTGAGGCCCGAACCAGCACCCCAGATGGATTCCTCCTCACTGTTCCTCTCTCTTGAAGGCTTCCAGGGCGGTCAAGATCGCTGTCCTCTTGGGGTTCTGGTGGGGAGACTTGGGGGCTCTGCCCTCCTCCCAAGCCCCGCAGGTGAAGTGCAGGCCCGGGGACTGAGGTCGAGTTGGCTGCCCGCACATCTCCCTCCCACCCCTACCCTGTCCCTGTCCCACATGTCTCGCGAGACAGACGTCAGCTTGTCAACGGAGATTCAGCAGCAGCAGTTCTATTTCTTGACCTGTTGGGATCATTCGACTGTACCCTTTTGTGCACTTCTCTGTATGTCCGTTATACTTCCATAAAAAGGGTTTATTATAAAAGTGATGAGTACCAGAGGCACGGTCGCGGCCACGACAAGGCTGCCACGGTGGGGACGAAGTAGAGGCCGAGGAGGGCGGGAGTTTTCCCCTGTGTTTGGGAACGGCTCTCCTTCAACATCCTGGGAACCTTGAGGGCCGCATCTTAGTCGTTGTGGTCCCTGAGCCCAGCCCACACCTGCAGCACAGGAGGCCCGGGATGGATGGAGGAAGCCAGAACGATGTGTCCACCTCCCAATCTCCAGTGTGTCACAGGATTGTGCCTCGTCAAAGGCAGGACGTCCGTTCCGAAAATGGAAAATGGATTACCCTGTGTTCACACTCCAGTCTGGGAAGGGGGTGTCCCGATGGCTCGATGTCATCTCCACCCTGCGCTGATAATGGGTCCATTGGTAATGGCTCCGGCCTCCTTCATCAGATCCAGTTGGACCCTCTGACGGAGGTGGGGAGGGGCCCAAGAAAGGATCCAGGATAAAAGCAGCAGCGGGCGTGCCAGGGCGAATGACAACCTGACCGTGGAGGTAGGAAGTGCACGGCTGGCCCTGAACTCTGACTCTGCAGAAGGGAAGGGCGTCCGGCTGAACGGAGCAGAGCTGCTGAGCAGGAGCGGAGCTGGGTGGGGCGCAGGAGGACCCTCCGCTCTTGGATCCCGCCCCTGCGCGAGCGCCGAGCGCTAGACTCAGAGCCTCGTGCCCTCGGACAGCAGTTGCTCACTCGGATGCAGCGGGTCGGTAGCGGTCTCCCCCAGGGGAGCCAGGTGGCGTCCCGGTCTCCCAGCTCAGCCCGCACTGGGCAGAAGAACCAGGTGGCCACGCTGCCGGTGCAGCGGCTCGGGGACGATGTGTCAGCTGTGCGGAGCAATGTCCACGTGGCGAACGGTTTTAAGATGAAGATGGATGCCCACGGCTTCAACCCGGAGGAGCTCGTGGTGCAAGTGGACGGCCAGTGCCTGACGGTGACGGGCCAGCGGCAAAAGGAGAGCTACGGCTCAGATGGGAGCGGCTACCACATGGCGCAGAAGATGCGCCGCCAAATGCTACTACCACCGAACCTGGATCCCGCCGGCATGACCTGCTGCTTAACACCCTCGGGCCAGCTGTGTATCCGAGGCCAGTGCGGGGCGCTGCCTTCCGCTGAAGCCCAAACAGGACACTCCTCGAAACTCAAGAGTCACCGCTCTAAGGGTTCCAACTTAGCCTGACCCAATAAACAATCGCCATAGTGAGCAGCAGCCTTAGTGTCCGTGGTCTCTTCTTGGGGTTGGGGTCAGAGGTGGAGGTTTGATGAAGGTAGGGGAAGGCCAGAAAGGCCCCTCAAAGTGGTGGTGCTGGGAGAAGCTGAGAGATGGGGGGTGGGGGGTGGTCCGACTCAGCCCGGCTCTGTTTGGACCGATAGCTGGGGCTGAGAGCAGCAGCGTCAGCAGGGGGCAGCAGAGAGCCAGGAGGGCCCAAGCGTCCCCTAGTTCCAGAACCAGCAGGGGGCCTACTAGAGACCAGGGACCGGATGGCTTGGACCTGGTGTGAGGCTCTTGTCTCGGCCTTACAATCAGTCCAAAGTTCCAGGTCATTGGTGTTCCTCTTCAGGGAAGAGGGTAGAGGACCCAGTCCCTCAGTCCTGATACAGATTAACCCCAAACCCCAAAGAGCTTGTTTCTGGTGTTTCAGAGACCAACTATTTTTGTTTTCTTTTGTGTGTTTTTTGTGTGTGTATGTTGTTTTGATACTAAATATTTTCAAATCTGGACTGCACAATCACCCCAATATATTCTAGAGGTGATCAGGGAGAGGAAAATGCAGGACCCGCAACTTCAAACTTGATGAGATTCAGTTCCAGGTCACTCTTCACTCCCATGCCATTAGTACTGGTAACAGTAAGGGCCTCTTTTTCTTGGCTACCAAGACACCAGTACCCCCTCACTTGGAGTGAGGGGGCAGCTTTTGTTTAACAAGATTCAGTGGTCCATTTTATATTAACTTCAAGTAAGCTAGAGAGGATGTAGTCTGATAAATTCTGCCAGAGAAAGACAAGACAAGCAGGAGGTCAATCCATTGGCTGACTATATTGACAAGATACTGATTGGTTACATGTTGAAGAAAACATACAATACAAAATACAGAAAAAGTTGGTTCCATTCCCGCCCACTCCCCCCTTACCCACCCACCCCCAAATACTCATCATCGTGATTTGGTCAGAACAGGGCTCAGAGCCAGAGGTCAGGGTGACCAAGGATGAGGGGGATGGGGTGGGCTGTGGGCAATGGGTTCGTGGCTGTCACAATAATGCTGTGGTTTCTCTCCCAGCTGTGTGTCAGGGGTGAGGGGGGACGGCAGCCTGATGCTAGCCAGCCAGCTAAGGGAAGAGCTGTCTCTCCCCTCCCTAGCCCCTAGGGCCTGCCCCATGGCCCAGAACCAAGCACACGCCAAACAGTAAGGATATGGATGCTCTTGCTGAGCCCGATTAATCAGCAAGAGGAAAAAGGGTTACTGCTCCAACCCCTGCCTCCCCATATATAAGGGCGGGGGAAACAGGAGCATGTGGTTACGCAGGGAGAGTGGGAGAACAGCAGAAAGGGCAGGTAGTGGGAAGAGATCATATATATTAAAAAAGTGACTTAAGACTTAAAATTGAATTAGTATTTTTACAGAAAGGTGCAGGTGGAATAACTCACTCCGGCCTATGAACAAAATTATATGGAGAAATCATGGTGGACCCTCTCCCCCTGCCCCCTCCCCCCATGGTGGCCCGAGTAGTTAAGTGCGATTGGTTAGAGTGGATTCCAGTCAGGTTGTTCAGGCGGAGGAGGTGGGGGCGGTGGGCAGGCAAGGGGGGCTCAGTTGCTGCAGCACTGGCTCCGGCTGGCGGGGTTGTTCTCCTGGAGGTCCACACCTCGGTTCCGGCCCGGAGCACCAGCTGCATTCTGGGGCTCATTCTTGGGGAGCTTCTTAGCTGTTTGGGAGAGAAGGAAAAATGTGTTTGTGGGGGTCCTCTAACACTGTCTCCCAAGTCCACTTGAGCAGAATCCGGCATATTGAGGGTTTCACTTCTATGTGTCAGGTACATGCTGAGTGTTCCAGGAAACTGAGGCAAAGAGAGGTTAAGTGACTTGCTTAAGACCAGAGTTCTAAGTGGAAGAGCTAGAACTTGAATCAAGCAGGTTGACTTCAGAGCTAAATGGGCTAAAAAATCCTAAGTAGTGGGTAGTATAGTGATACCGGGTTTCAGGTGGGTGGTAAGCTTAACAGTAAGGAAGTGAAATGTTGAGACTTTAGTCCAAGTTTTAGAAACTTCTGGGATGAACTACCTATATCTGAGTTATATGAAAAAGAAAAAGATTTTATCAGAATATTGAAAATAGCAGAAGATCTGTCGGTGAAGGGACTCCACAGACATACTAGAGAACAGCAGCCCAGTGCTATAACTCAATGAGAGAAGGAGAGGAGAGGCACCTTACCTATTGCCATGAAAATTTCATTCACGTTCATTGCTGTCTTTGCTGATGTCTCCATGAACAGCAAACTGTTGTCGTCTGCATAGGCTTGTGCTTCCTGATTTGGATGGAGGTGAGAAAGTGGGCGGGAGGAAAATGTTGAGGATGTTGAGTTGGCAGGGGCTGGGGCCCAGAATAAAAAATCTTCCCTGGTTACAGTGCCTTGTACACAATAGAGACAATGCAGGGGTTTTCAGGCCTGTAGCCTTCCACTTGGGGTTCCTCTGAGACATGGGCACCATACACCCTGTTCCCCACTTCAGATACAGCACCTCTCAGCTCACAAACATAGGCCGATGTTTTACCAGGTGTCCCTCTGCCCATTCTACCTTCTCGCTCTTTAAAATCACTAGGCTAGGAAATACTTCTAGAAAGTTACCCTACAAATACAGTTGCACATTTGAACAAAAACAAAGAAGTATGGCCCAGCCGGCGTGGCTCAGTGGTTGAGCGTCCACCCATGAATCAGGAGGTCACGGTTCGATTCCCAGTCAGGGCACATGCCTGGGTTGCGGGCTCGATCCCCAGTGCAGGAGGCAGCCAATGATTCTCTCTCATCATTGATGTTTCCATCTCCCCCTTTCCCTTCCTCTCTGAAATCAATAAAAATACATTAAAAAAACCACAAAGCACAGAAGTATGTACATATTGACAGCATTGTTTCCAGTCTTTTGCTATTACAAACAACCTTAAGTTTGGGACTGGTAAAAAAATTAAATATACAGTATGTAAAACACATCCCCATCTATGTAAAAAGGGATTTACACACATTGTGCATATTTCTGGAAAGACCAGAAACTGAGGAACTTGGGGGAAGGGAGACTGAGTTTCTAGGTTAGAGACTTAAATTTAGTTCTATATACCTTCTTGTACTATTTAAATTTTACTATGTGCATGAATTACGTGAAAAAAGTATTTCTTTTACAGTAAATTTCACTTAAAAGTTTACAGAAAAATAAGCAGAAACTTTAGCTATCCATATGCACACATACCCTACTGCCAAGAAACAAGGAGAGGCAATTCCTTTCAGCCCAGGCTCGAGTCACAGAGGACAGCAGATAAAAGCGCCCCGGCTGCCTCCCAATGTCACCCTTCCTGAAACCCGAGTAGCCTGGGGAAAGCCATGCAGCTGGCTTACTCCTCCCCCGTGTCCTGTCCATCCCCCACACCTGGAATTCCACGGCTCTCTTGTTGGCCAGGTCTGCCTTGTTACCCGCCAGGGCGATGACGATGTTGGGACTGGCCTGCCTCTGTAACTCCTTCACCCAGTTCTTGGCCCGTGCAAACGTATCCTGGGGAAACAGGGCCGGAATGTCAAAGGGACAGAGGAGGCGTTCTGCCCAGGCCACGCACTAGAGAAGCTCCGGATGGCAGAGCCAGGTGTCTACAAGGTCACCAGCCTGAAGACTCTGGCGAGACACCCCAAACCACCGAGGAAATCTGCCCAGACCCCGTCCAGAAACAAGGATCGAGAAGTAAGGGAAAAATCTTTACTGTGTTGGTGATGTCATAGACCACGATGGCAGCCTGGGCCCCCCGATAGTACATGGGGGCAAGGCTGTGATACCGCTCCTGTCCAGCTGTGTCCCAGATCTCAAACTTGACTGTTGTGTCGTCCAAGCAGACAGTCTGTGTGAGGAAGGCCGCTGTAAGAGGGAAGGTGGTGTTACCAGGCAAGGAGGAGCTGGGAAGCCATCCCCACATATCTCACTGTTGCATCCGGGGTTCTGGCACTCAGAAGCCTTCTGCTGAGCTGGGCACAGAAAAGCAGCCTGCGAGGACAGGCGGAGTTTGTCTTTTCGTACATGTGCCGAGGGGGCTGCAGAATGTACAGGCTTTAGAGACCACACTGGGCAAGGGCAGGAGAAGGAAAGCCTGCTTGCACCTCGCCATTTCAGGAGCGCTCTCTGAAGAGGAATACAGGGGGCAGGAGACGAGAAGCCCAGGGGAAACCGGACTCTAAGCTCAGCAGGGTGGGCCAGGCCCACCCGCCTCCTTCCTCCTCCTCCCTCCCCTCAGAGAGAACAGTCCAGCTGGAAACCTCCCGAGTCCCTGTTTGCTCCAGCCCAGGGGTGTCACTGGCCTTCTGTTTCCTGAGGACACTTACACACTTAGCTGTGCTGGGGACGCCTGAAAGTACACGCTGTTCCCCTGCCCGGAGGAGGCTGGGTGGCCAGCTTCCTAACCGCCCTGCCACCCAGGTGCACTGGGCTAGCCACAACCCCCAGCTCTGACCCTGACCCACTCTTGATTGACCACCGTGTGGCTTGACCTTCAGGTAACACCTGACCCTATCTTTGTCCTGAGGAGGCAGGGGAACATGCAGCATTTGTGTATATGCTTCAAGGGGAAGTCCCAGAGCTGGGACAGGCAGGTGGGAGTCCCCTTGGCCCCGGGACCCAACAGAGGATCCCAGAGGACTCTGTTTTCTTAAAGCCTGCTCTCCTGTCTGCCTCCCCGCCCCCGACTCTCTGAAGACACGGGGCATCACCCCACTTCCCCTCTCCGGCTCCTGACTCGAGTGCTGAGGAGGCAGCAGAAGACTGCTGACACGGCCCATTTTGTTTCCAGCTGCCTAGAAACCTCCTACCAACCAAGAGGGTAGAGAAAAGATGACTCAAGCCCAAGGTCGGCCCTGGCCTCTCAAGGTTTGTACTGGCTACAAGGCAAGAGGCTGAGTTCAGACCTTTACAACCTAAGTGCTGACCACTGGGAAATCAAAGAGGCTCTTCACTCAAGAAAGAGTAAAGGTCAGCTTCAGAAATGCCAGCCACTCACCAGGCCATTTCCCCATTTTGGAAAGTGGGAGAGGCCAGGGCAGATGCACGGCCTGGCAAAGTAAGAAGAACCCACAAGAATCCAGACTCAGCCTCTCCCTTCCCAGAGGCTGGGTCTGTGGAAGGGTCTTCGCCAAAGCCACACAAATAATAAAGAGGCAGAACCAGGAGAGGAAGTCAGTTTTGACTCCCAGCTAATTCTCACTAGAAGCTTCTTGGGACTTTGGCATGGAGACCAGCTGTTGGAATTTGTTTCGGGACCCAGATGAGGAAAGGTGCTGCCCCCTCCACCAGGTGTGTTTAGTCTCTCTGGGCAGGCAGCTTCCTTCTCCTCAAGGCCAAGGCGTCTCTTTGGCCCTCCTGCGGCCACCCCTGCTCCCTTGCGTCCACTCACCTCCAATTGTGCTCTCCTGGTACTCGTGGAATTGTCCCTTGACAAAGCGGAGGACAAGGCTGGATTTGCCTACTGCAGACTCCCCCAGCAGGACCAGCTTAAATTGACAGATCTTGTTCCCAGCAGCTGGTCCATTGGGTCGTGCTGCACCTCCCCGACCCGCCATGGCCCGTCCTGCTGTAGCGGTACCAGTGAGCGTGAGGGCAGGGGCCGGTGCTAAGCAAAGAGGCACTTAGTGGGAAGGGGGGCCTCCAACTGCAAGGGAGAAACCAGAAATACTAGGTTAGTCCAGAGACTACTGTGCAGTGAGCCCTTCTTAAATCACAGGTCTCTCCCTCTGCCCTCCCTGCTGACCTGGCTTCCGCCCCCAGAAGTTGCTGTAGCGGTACCAGTGAGCGTGAGGGCAGGGGCCGGTGCTAAGCAAAGAGGCACTTAGTGGGAAGGGGGGCCTCCAACTGCAAGGGAGAAACCAGAAATACTAGGTTAGTCCAGAGACTACTGTGCAGTGAGCCCTTCTTAAATCACAGGTCTCTCCCTCTGTCCTCCCTGCTGACCTGGCTTCCGCCCCCAGAAGTTAGGAGAAGAGCCCTGACCAGGCTGTACCACACATGTATTTGCTCTACAACCATCTGAGTGGTAAAGAGAAAAGTGGTCTCATGCTTCTTTAGGCTCATGCTTCTGAGCAAACACACTGACTTCCCTATCCCAAATGTGTCCATTCACATACAGATAGACACACACAGGAGAAGAATGGGCACGTGTC